AGAGCAGGGAGCACTCCAGGGAACCGTGCGGAAGCTGCCGCAGGTGCCCTGCTACCCTGAGGGGGGCATTTTCAAGTCCAGGTCAGTCCCAATGACCGTGTTCCCCGCTTTTCACGACTTGTTGTTTGGCAATGAGATTATATGAGTTATACATGCATGTTTATACAACATGCGTAGGGTTTCCACATCCGTTGGCAATGAGCTCACAAGCTCATGTGAGTCGGATGAACCATCTCATTTAGCGAATAACAAGCCAACGTGGCAGAATTCCAGCCATGTACTTTCTGGGACAGGAAGGGGATGGCACACAGGGTTCCCGCGCTGGCAGTTTCCATTCAGATGTATTCGGTGTTGAGCACAGTACTTGAACAACTGTGGAGCTGTTACAAATTCTGCAAGTTGAATTGCATGTTTCCCAGGAATTCTAGGAATGTCTGCTGGCCGCCAAAGCTTTGATTTGCTTCCGCAACATGTGGCCGAATGCAAGGTGGAGGATTGCCACGGCGTACATGCTGCGAACTTGGGGACGGCTTCGAAGACACACTATAGTATACCGTATTATGTTTTAGTTTATTCGATTATACAATATCAGGGCCGTTGGGACATTGGAGCTCTCATGCAGTGATCTTGCTGAATTGTGTATCTACATACAGCCTTAGTCACCATACCCCCACAACAAGCAGGAGACATTCGAGAAGAGTACGAGAATCGTTCTTGTTTCATTCACTCTTGGATCCATTCATCTTACTTGTCTTGGGGTTGTCTTTCTTGAACTTGATTTTGTAAATTACACTGTTCCTTTGCGGGGACCCTAAAAGATCAAGGATTACAATATTTTGACATGTAGAAGGGGACCCCTATTGATGAAACTGCCAAGGAAGAGCAGCATGCAGAGCCCAGCAAAACCTTGAAGACTGAATCCAAACCTAGAGTCAAATCCATCCGAGATGGGTTTGACTTGACCCAAAGTTGTATGAACAACCCACAGAGTAGCCCACATCAGTCAACATTGGCAGAATCAGAGTTCAGTGTAACCACAACGAAATACGTACCTCCAAATGAAAATGGAAGCGGTCACAACCACACTGGTAACAGCAATAGCAGCAGTCATCATGATATTTAAAGTGACAGCAAGAGATATAACAAACCTTGCAGCATTGCGTGGATGCTTCAAAGGTCTCCACTCTACAGCCTCCTGTCTCCGACTGGCTTGGGGACCGCGGTGAGGGTTTCAGTGGTTGAGAGCAGAGGGTGTGAGCGTAACGTGGTCTTGGACTGGGTTTCTTGGGTCTAGTCCGGAAAATCTTCCCGGTCTTGAGAGTTGACTTTGTTTTTTTAGTTCCCATTCTAGGGGTTTGATTTTGAACAGAGTTGTGCTTTGCAGTTGCAACGTTTGTATTTGAAAGCAAGCACGCTGAGGGTTTACCACCGAGATGTTGTACCATCATGGAGGTAGGATCCTGTATCTTGGCCAGTGGCATCATAGAGCCGAAAGTAGCTTTCGCCGCGAATGAAGAGTGAAACCAGTTGATGTGGAGGTAGACGAGACCCTCAAGCATAAAGGCAGAGTCTGCAAGCAGCGTAGGCGAGGTCTTTGAAGGTTGGGATGGTCGCGTATTCTACCATTACCAATAGTATTAATGTTACTACTATTACTCTGACGGTTATTGTTAGTATTGTCGTTATTTTAGTTTTACGATTGTTATCATTAGCATTACTACTACTATTTTTACCTTCTCCGTTGAACAACTGAGGCCAGACTGGCATCTGTGTGAGCGATGGAAGATCATTGAAGGATGATGAATGTACTGCAATTACTGCAAAGTTTATCCCCCGACTGCTGAAGAGACTCTAAACCCTAAACCCTAAGCCCTAAACCCTAAACTGCTGAAAAGTCTCAGGACAGTTTTGGTGCATGAGTCCGCAGACACAGCTCCAAACCCACATTCAACGAGTGTGTTTTGGTCCGATTTGAATCCTTAAAGGGGGTCATATAAGGGCTTAGATAGGGGACTACTGTAGGGGTTATTAGGGGGATACTAGGGAACCCTAAAGCATGTTGTACCTTGAATCCCAGCGCAAGGAGTTCTACACTCTTCCTGGCCTGCTCCCCTTGCTGGCGGAGATTTTCACAGAAGGCGACAGTGCATCAGAGCTTTCTCAAAAATGCGTTTTTCTCGGGAAGAAGTTCTATGCCCTGATGTAGATTTGAATGAACCTTCCAGGTCCGCTCATCGAAGATACCACCTATGCCTTCGCCATTCCGGTGCGTCACACAACTTCTTTCCAACCTTCAGCAGGCGGCTCCTGAAGGGAGAGATCTTTGGGCCGTTGTTCTGGTAGAATCGTTCAAGCGCCAGACTGAGCTTACTGGTTCTTAGTAGTAAGTATGGAAATTCCTTTAGGGATTACATAGGGATTATATTCCACTCTTCCCTACAAAGAACCAGCAAGAGAGGGTGTGTGGATGGAAGGTAGGCATGAGCTCTGCCCGTAGCCCAATCTAAGCCGGGATTGGTTTGGTGGATGCTAAGAATGATGCCTGAATCCAAGTACCTTATACCTTAGGAGAACCCCCCTCCAAGTAATAGTGGTGTATTAGGTATATAAGAGGACCTCACTATAGTTATCCTTTGTAGTCACTCTTACAGGGAGAGGGGTCCACCTAACTTATGCCTTAGGAATTCTGGCATTATGGAGAAGGTCTTTTTTAGTATCAAGAGTATGGTGCTTGCTGCAGGCACAGGCTTCGTGCTTGCCACCTTCATCCATACGGACTCTCGATCAACTTATTGGGGCTGTACTTGGAGGTTCAGGGTAATTGTAATCCAAACACAGTTACATGATTGGCCCAAAGTTAACCCAATATTCAGCCCCCCCTAGTGCTGAGACATGCCTCAAGTAGTCCGCTTTCGGGAAGGTTTTGTGTCACCACGGCCTAATCTGACATGGCATTCAGGAGTCAAGTGCTGAAACCACACATGCCCCACCTCAGACAGTCAAATCAGCAATGCGCAGCCCGGCCTTGACAGTGACCATTATGGAGATCCCTGCATGCCCTCTAAACCCCCAAACCCAAGCTACCAACCCCTAAACCCCTTAACTATGCCAAAATGCACGCCCTTTAGAGTTTGGGGGTTTATAGGGTTTAGGGTATAACCCTGAAACCTAAATCCTCCTAGGCCCCTACAGGGCCCTACAGGCCTGAAGCCGAACCTTCATAAGGACGCTTCCTGGCAGCTCCTGGACCGAAGCCCAACGCTGGTGCCCCTGCTACCCGCCACAGCTGCGGAGATTTGGCCTGGCTACGGACTCTACTCGCTGGCGGCAGCTGGGAAGGGATGGAAGGGAAGAGAACTACCCCAACATGTAGGAATTTGTTTTTTGTAAATTGTGAGGCGATAGGGGAATTTCTGGCATTTTTCAGGAGTCAGTTCCATTGGCTTTGTAGAGCGTTTGAGGGTTTTGTTTGTGTTGGGCCGCGGACTGCGGCCACTTGTATCTTTGCTGCTGTCATTTCTGTTCATATTCGCATCATGTAATCCTGTTTAATGACTCAGAGATCCTTTCGGGACACTGTACTCTGATGCTTCCCTCTTGTCCCTGTGCTGCTCTCAAATCATGGCTTCCTGCCATGCCTTCAAAATCCAGGCCGTATTCATTTTGATCACGCCCCTCCCCCCACCCCATATTCTTGCGGTCAGTGACCCAGACCACCCCCAATAAATGGAACCCCCTAATAATGCCCTAGTTTCCCCAATCTAGTAGTGGGTTCATATTGGGGGAGTTCTTTTTCTAAGCCCTAAACCTTGAACCCTAAACTCTAAACCTTAAACCTTAAATCTTACACCCAATCTTTTGGATCCTTTTGAGGAGGTCGGGATGGTCTGCCCGCCAGGCCGCCCCGGGCGCGATCAGTGCGAAGGTCACGCCGGCGCTGCCTTTCGCGCAAACGGCGCTGCCAGGAGAAGCGTGCCTTGGCGATACGTGGGTATTGGTCTAAATTCCCTATAATACGGGGTCCTATATTTGGGTTCCCATTATAATACGGGGCCCTATATAAATTTCCCCCATTTTGGGAACAGTAATTTAGGGAAACTACCACGTGCTATAGCCTAAATTGCTTAATGGGGTTTTCTATTCGGGATTATAGCCATATGGTAGATTCCCAAAATAGGGGACCCCAATATAGAACCCAAAATACTATAATCCTTAATATTGGGACCCCTAAAAAGGTACCCCTACTTCTGGGAAACCCCCATATATTGGGTTATATGAGGGTTAGAGCACTGGGATGATTTGGGTCAAGGGTTTCGGGTTTAGGGTGTAGGCTAAATTTCCTAAAGGGGGGGGGGGGGTTAATTGAGCTATAGTCTATATACCCCGATAATGGAGAATCAAATGAAAAAATTGGAAAATAAAACGGGAATTGCTACATATGGGATCAGGAAGGATTAGATGAGCTATAGTCTAAACTCCTTAAAGGGGCTTATATAGGGCACTGCTCCGGGGATAATTATGGGGATACGAGGAGTTTAGACTATAGCTCATAATGTGGGCTATCACCATATTATGGTGATCGCTCTGAGTGATCTGCCTGTTTGGGACAGTTCCAAAGAGTTCTATGGGTTGTAATCCTGGTACTGATTACTTCATGTGTCTAGAAGCCCAGACATGCCAGGATGCTTCATCGGTTCAGAGATTGCTGCGCATGGGCTCTGCTAATGCGTGTTTCATTCCTTAAAGGTTAGCATGCTGGATTCTAGCTAGATGCATCCTGTCGGGATGTGTACTGTGTCTGTGGGATTTGGCTCAGCCACATTCTCGCTATGCACAACCACGGGTAATCACACCATCAGGCTCAGACAGACAAGCCTGCAATGATCAAGACAGTATGCCCTTGCCCAAGCTCCTATGAGAGAATCATGCGTCATGTTGTGTTCCTGGGCTTGAGACAACTGCTAGTGAAACAGCACAAGCTGTGCGTTGACAAAGTAGGCATGGCAGCCACCGCGCGGATTGAAGAAGACCTCTCGCAGAATCGTTTCTTGCAGGTGCTTCGTGCCAGCTTTGAAGGCATGTATCGGCAGGCTGCCAAGGGAGGAGAGAAGACTGTGGTTCTGGTGCCTTGTGCAGATTGTCTTGAGGCTGAGCACTTTGGCCAAAACTTTGCGGAAACGCATCTGCTGCAAGCAACGTGTGTTCCGGGCTGCTACACGAACCTTCTGGGGCAAGGTGTTGAGATCAAGGACAGCAGCGTTTCGACTCGCCTGGGCTTCTCCGAACAGCGCGTTTGCGAGGTCCTCCAGAGCGAGTCGATGTACGACGTGGGCAACACTTTCCGCGTCCTGGTAACTTGGCTGCTGTTAAGGAACTTAAGTGAAGTTGCCATAGTAAGGAAACCCTATTACTTGTTATATACGCATCATGATTTGGTAACTTAGCTTAAACTCCTCAGCAGCAACCCAGGTTATTGACAAGCCGCTGATTGGCAGGCATAAGCCGCTACCTGGAGCAGCGGACCGTGCCAAGGCATCGGCTGAGACCTCTGAGATGTCTGTGGACGACTTGCTGCTGCAGGCTCCGATGATCCAGGTGCCCGGGTCCCAAACCCCCAAGCTTTCCAATCCAGCACTGGGACCTTCCAGGGCTTGAGGGTACCTTCTGCACTTTCTGTTCCTCTGCTAGGGCGACTTCTTTGATGAAGTGGACCGGTTTCGGAAGACCTTTGTGCAGGTGGCAGGCTGTGAGAATCGCACTGCTGAGAGGATTCGTGAGATTGTGACTCTCGATCGGCAACTTTTTGACATGTGTTATAATCATGAGCTGTAGTCTAAACTCCTTGAAGAAGGTTATACAGGGGATTATATTGCGGATTATTAGAGGGGCTATTAAGGGGCATACTACGAGTTGAGACTATAGCTGCTATAGCAGATGACCCAAGTTCAAAGTCCATTTGGCATGATAGATCAGTAGGGGGGCTGTCAACACCACCCCCCCCTTAGCTCACTTCGCTGCACCGCTAAGTCTTAGGTCACCCGCATCAAAAGGTACCATGATCTCGACACACCCCTCCATGAGGGAGGCTAATTTCAACACGTCCTTTCACCCGAAACGCCTCTGGCAGCGTTTTCGTGCGCTCGTGAAGAATTTCAACACGTCCCACTTTAATGTGCCACAATATACTAGAAAATATTTTAAGATCCCCTAATATACTATAATAGATTATAATATGCTGTAATATACACTCCTTTTGATAAGCAGCCAAGACCAGGACTGGGGCGGTGCAACGTCTCAGCCGGCATCACAAGCTCACCTCATCCTCGCAGCTGCGGCAGTTGGAGTTCACGGTGAGCCGCCAGGCTCTGACAAACCTGACAAGCATGTTTAGGGTTTAGGGT